CGCGCGCGTTTTGAAAAAGTTTGATTATTAATTTAACAAGAACTAAAGTAACAAACTTTAAATATTGTCTCCATATTAATATATATACATGTATATAAAAAAAAAGAAGTAAGATTATGTGACTCCAAAAATTTGTTAAGGGTGCTACATTTCATTCGTGCGTTTTTGTCAATGACAAATGTGTGCAAAACACGAGATGAGATCTTTAGATTTCTCTATCCTATATATTATATGCAATAGCCATAATTATAATAGGCTTGAAATATTTGTCGTACGACAAAAATGCACAAATGAAATAGCTACCTAAAAGGATTTAATGCTATTTTATTTAAATTTGGTTTGCCTTTCGAATTTTAATAGATGTTTACAGCGCAAAAAATAGATTTGATATTGATAGAAACACGATAAATAAGAAGTAATATTATTGACTCAATGCGGTTCATTCATATTTAAATAGCACGCATACGCGATCACACATACGAATAGGCTATGCGTAAATGATAATGCGATGATAATAACGAGAAGGTTGCGCGGCACTGACGAAACGGACGTGCGACGTCATTGGCGTAGAACGCTATATAGCATATTGCAGCTGGCAATACGTACATCAGGAGTATTCAGCAAAGAAACTGATAAATGAGCGCTCAGTGATTGATTGGTTCTTGCTTTCAATTCTTCGTTAGATCTATAAATGTAGAAATATATTGAAGTATCACTGTGAGCGCACTTATTAATCAGTTTTTTCTACTGAATATATAGCCATTATCACAATTTTATCACAAATCGCACATTGATTATAACAATAAGTTTACTTGCATTGCTTAAATAATCCTGATAAATGTTTGCACTTAAAATGAGATAAATGTATATTTGATGCTAAAAAAAAAGAGAAAAAAAGCAGAGATGCTAAGCGCAAAAGGTACAAGCAATGCAAACACATTAATAACACAACTCAAAATACAAAATATTCCAGAAAATAAATTTGAATATTTTGAACCATTAAAATATTGTAATATTAATTTTAAAATACACACAATTTTGGTGTAATAACTGATGAATATGCGATATAGGAATAAATGTATGTTCTTCTAAAATGTTTTTAAAATTTTTTCTTTCTTTATGTGTCTCCGTTCTTCTTTGTAAGAAATTAAATGACAACTTTGTAGTTATTACAGTAAATGAATAATATCTTATATATTTATAAAATGATGTAATATAAAAACTTTATAAGAATGTTTAAAAAAAAAGAAAAAAGCAATAATGATAATATTGCACTAATAATTAATATTTTAATTGATCATCTTTTAATTGTTATGTCCGTACACACTTTCGCATCAATCAGTTATTTTCTATTCTTTTGATACGCGTCTTTTAGTAAGGTATGACAGCATGAGAGAGTGGAAACTTTTCTCAAGCAAAAAGCATTTCTCAGAAATGTTCCGCGCATGCAATATTTTCCGCATGGAGCTTATTTCAATGCTTGCTGCAGCATTTGTGCATTTCAACTCGCGTCGCGCCAATGCCATGAATGATGATCTCGACAAGAAGACTCGCTTGGACACGGGAGACGCTTTAGTACACCGCCAGCCTCACTGTACTCCGTGCGTGCGTGTATCCTGATCATGCTTCCTCACGGCGAAATATGATCCTTCGTACGCGGCGGCACGCGCCGCGACTTTCGAATGCGAGTGAAAATCGCTGCGAGACACTGTACGTCGCGAGTATCGCGCCGCACTTCGTGCGATTCGCGCCCGCGTAATCACCGCGCGAACGATTCTTGCGAATAAACAATTTTTGGCGCATCGATTAAATGCGTTTGATTAACGCGGAGTTACGAGGGCGCAAAGAATACTCGTGGGTGAATGTTTACGGTGAAATGAAACATAGTTTTCCTTGAGGCTTTCTTTTTCGTTGTGAAAATTATAAATTTTGAAAGTCTGCTTCCCACATACATATATCTATAATATTATAACAAATTTCCAAAGTTACAAATTTAATATGTGTTTTCTATTTAAATAATAAATCTCTAATCCTAAACAAAACGTCTATGTCTCTAAAATCGAGATAAGCTACATGTTTAAAATTAATATTAAAGCGTTTTTTATTGGCAAAGAATTGATGCGCTCTCAGTACACATTAAAGCCATCATACACTATTCCATAATAATCTAAATGTAAAAGTAAGATATCTTATAATTAACAAAATGGCTAATGTACATATTTTATCAAATAGCACCATGAAATGTATTGAGAATTTTGCGGTTTAATTCGTTTCTATATACTTTAGAAATATTAAACATATATTTTTTAATCGATTTGTGTACAACGGTTTTAAAGTGCGCTGAGTGCGTATATTAGTTCTGCCAATGAAAAATGATATTACATTAATCTGTTTTTGTTGTATGACAAACTTTTCAAACCTGTTGATTTGACTATAGGATAGAAAAATTCGAAAACCTCTCTGTTCTGCAGTCAATTAATACACATAAAAAATTTTTTGTACGACAAAGCGGATAAATATATACACTAATTGAGATGTGCGTGCTATCTGAATTATGTATATTATCTACAAACTTATAGTCTGTGGTATTATTTTAAAATGTATGAGATAAGCTTATCTGTATTAACATTATCAGTGCATTCTTCTAATTTTTTAACGTCTGACCACAGAGATCGTTGTAATTGTTTCGGATAGAATCATAAATCAACTCACAAAGATTTATCGAGATCAATTACAAAAATATCAAATAAGGAAATAAACTAATGGGAATTAAGTACTGTAAACCGTACGCAACTATTTCGTATAAAAAACTTTATCATAACTAACGATACATTAGAGATATAATACAAATGACATAGTACTGTTTATTTGGAAAAGAATCTTGCTATATTAATTAGAATTCTGATTGAAAATAAATAAATCAGATTTTTTAAATTAAATTTATTATAATTCTAGTTGAGATAACTAAAATTCTAATTGATCAAAATTTTCTAGTTTATCCATTTTCAACTAGAAACTTTTTTAGTATCATTTTTGTTACATAATATAAAAATATGCATAATTAAACATCAGAGAAAAAAGGATGATAAATGCAAAACGTTCAATTACAAAAAATTATAGGCATATCCAGGGAGAGGAGGGGAGGAGAAGAATTTGGAGGGTTTAAAACCCCCAAAATTTTTTATCAATTTTTTCATTTTTAATTGTACATAAACTTGACTTTTAAATTTGTGTAAATTGTTTTGCTATCGCATAAAATATTTTTTCCTCGTTAAGACCATGTAAGTGTAATCGCTTAACCTTTTTGAAAAAATTTCTTGAATAAAATTTATCTTATCTATTTCTATTGTTTTTATAGAAATAGAAATCATAGAATAGTTTCTATTGTTTTTGTACAAGCGCTTTATAATATTATGTAATAATAATAACAATAGCAATATTAAAGAACAATACATATTGTTTTTATTATAATAACTATGTTTTGTTCATACTTTTTTTAGGACAAAAAAATAAAAGTTAGGTGTATATTTGATTTACAAAATCTAATATTTTTTTCATTTAAAATCAGAACGAAGAGACATACATAAGCTCTAATTAAAATACAAAAAAAATCAATTAAATAAAGCAAAAAATTGTTATTTAGATAATAGAAGAATTTATGTAATAAAAAGAGTTTATATAATAAAAGAATAAAAATCCTTCTCCTCGACAAAAAATTTTGGATACGCCTATGCAAGGAATAAATATTAAAGCAATCTTATCAAGTTTGAATGGCTGACGCGACAATCTTTTTACAGAAATTCTTATACGATTGTCACCTACTTAGTTATTATATATGTATGCTTGTGTATATTTTAAATGAAATTTTAGACATTGTCTTCATTCGTGTATGTTTCGTAAGATTACCGTTTTCGCAGGTGTGCGGTACATTCATGATGCAATACGGATTGGGACACTCGTAAGACGTAAGGTTTAAGGTAGGCGCAGTGGCGTAGAAACGGTCAGTATCTTGCTGATGAAATTGGAAAAAAGCGCTGCTAATATTGAATATCTTGGAGTGTGCAAGTTCACGTCGAGAAACTGTGGAACAATATATACTTGCGTTGTTAACTAAAATTTATATACACATGGTTGTGGACAATGTTTATATTTTTTAAAAGACTGGAAAATTTTAAACGACGAAGAAAACTGAGGTGTCAACAAGAAATTATATCTTCAGGAAATGTTATAAGTTTCAATGCGATTAGTTTCGACATTATTTTGAAACTACTTATGCATTGTTTTAGTGAAGATCAACGAAGACCGGGTGAAATATCGATACGATATAAAGAACTTTTGAGTGGATTTTTTTATTATTTTCACCGTACTTGCTTTTGATTTTTCATCGGTACTTTCAGAGACACGAAGAAGAAAAGCGTTGTCACGAATTTCGAAGCTGCACACGCCCCACCAACGAGATGTCAGAATAAGTGCGTCCGCGCCAATGGGCGCGCGTGTTCGCGCGCGACCGTCGCTAGCCGCTAGCGTCGCGTCAGTTCGATCGCCGACGAATCAAGTCAAAGGGTAGGAGATGGTATGGTGAGCGTACCGGCGAGCGCGGTCAGAAGAAACGAGCGCGGCAACGGGCAGTTCGGCAATTGCGGCCCGGCACGTAACACGTAAGGTGTATGTATCCGTCGCGTAAGACGCTTCTTGCCACGTGGTGATACGCGAGAGCGCGTGCGTTTCTTACTTTTTCTGTTCTCTCTCCATTTTCCACTCTCTCTCTCTCTTCCGCTTTATATCTTCCTTAGCTTCCGCTTTCCCTCCGTCTTCTTCACATATGTCACCGCTAACCGCATCGCGTGCAGCCGCGGTAGTGCACACGCGGCACGCCGCCGCGACAATCGTTGCCCAAGCACTCCGATTCGTTGCGTGAAAACGTGCGTGACATTCGCGCGCGCGCGCGAGCGCGCGCGTGCTCCGATTTCGAAAAGAACTTTTAACACGACGCACGGAAGATGCCGGATAAGGTAGCGCCGGCGGAAAAGTTGGTGCTGTCGCAGTCCAAAGCTGCGAGATCTAACAGCGACGAGGGTATCAAATTGAAAAAGGAGTTGGGTTTGTGGAACGGCGTGGCGATCATCGTCGGTATCATCGTCGGCGCCGGTATCTTCGTGTCGCCCAAAGGCGTGCTTAGGAACAGTGGTAGCGTCGGCCAGGCTCTCATTGTCTGGATTTTCTCCGGGATCCTGTCGCTTATCGGAGCGCTATGTTACGCCGAGCTCGGTAAGTGATGAAATTCTGTTGAACGGTTGCTTTGAAATTTAAAATATAACGCGCTCGACGAGAAAGGAGAATTTAAAATATGGGATTAGTATATCGATTCTGTAATATGGCTCCAGGACGGGCGAGTTTTTTAATTCATCGATTGAATCAATCGCATTGTGCACAGACACAATTTTGTTCCATATAAAAGCTGCATTTGCACATAATGCGATTGATCAATCGATGAATTGAAAAACTCGCTAGACGTAGCTTAACGCTTGCCGCGCTGTGGAAGTAGACGCGCGGTAACCAATCATATCTTTGCTTTTATTGAAAAGCGGTAAATTGATTGGTTACTGGTGTTCTGTGTGCAAGAGCTGTGTAAGGGTGTCTCCTCATTACAGATGGAATTCCGGAAAACGAAATCTTGAAAAAATAATACGGCCAATCAAAATTATTTAATCTTTAACTAATAGGAATAAATAAACAGGATAAAGGTATAATTTTATGAACCGCTCTAACCGACCGTTTTAGTAACAAAAAGGATCAAAATTGACGAACATCAAGCATCAATTTTGATCATATGATCCTTTTTATCGCTGAAAATGTAAAGGTCTATAACGATCGAAGCTGGATCTTTAATGCTTAAATAATTCAACATGAATTTGTATAATATATACTATAATCGTATATTACTTTTCTAAAATTCCGTTTTTTCGCGAAATTTCGCTTATTATAATAAGCACTCTAATGTATCGTCTACAATACACGAAATAAGAAGTATGTAAGAATAAAAAATTGATCGATTACAGTTGAATGTGAGAAGAATAATCGACTATGATTAATCAATTTCTTACTCTTATTCGGATTGTAGGCGACGCCGGATTAGTCCGAATTTACAATAGGTGTTTTAAGCCTCAAGCCGTAAGAAATTTGTCCAATTACAGTTGAATGTGAGAAGAATAATTGACTACGATTCGTCCATTTCTTAAGACTTAAGGCTTAAAAATCTATTACATTTAGGACCGGTTATTTCATGTTCAGATGAATTATATGATAATTTACCTACCAGAGAAACAAAAAGTAAAAGCATGTGGGAGTAAGAAAGTAAGACAGTGAACTGAAGTTTACTGAAAAGTGGAACGACTCAGCCTTAATTATTTTATATTTTCGAAAAAAAAAAGTAGATATATTATAATACAGCAATTTACAACGTTTTGTTGTTACAACACGGATAAAGCTACAAAAATTTTCTAAAATAACACTGTCGTTGATATTATTAAGGTGTAAAGTAGTAATTATGTAAATTGGCTTTTTAGGAATATAGCGTTCTGTGGAATCGTAAGCTTACATATAATTTATATGTAACATTATAATTTATATGTATCGATATAAAATGATATGATAATATCATTTTATATATTCTTTGATACATAAGTCTTTCTATTCTTTGTCCGGAATCCATAGTCCGTTCTTAATCTAAAGATCAACTTAAGCAATGTCTAAAGACGTTAATACGGTTCTCTGATTGGTTCGCAACGTCTTAAGCACCGGCTTGACGTTCCGAACCAATCAGAGAACCGTATTAACTAAAAAATAACTTTAGGTAATATTAATATAGAAGAGTTTGTCTATATTAATATTACCTAAAGTTATTTTTAAAAAGAATTACTATATTTAAAAGTTCTATATTCTCTCTGCTATATTTATTAATTTGAGATATTTTTAGTCCCAAGAAACATAAGTATGTATTTTTTCTATTTGTTTGGTATATGATTTCTTTGTTTCTTACTCAACGATACTGTTACAACAACGATATGATATGTATGCGCACGTGGCACTGCCGTCTCATGTCTCAGCACTGCCATATGCTGATGCTTACACTTCTCGTATGATATCTCCATGTTCATAATTTGCCGACAATAACTTAAGAGAGAATAAGCGAATTCATTACATGACTGTTTTTTAACAGAAAAGGAAATATGAAAAAATAATATAACTTTGGATAATATATTTAAACATTTTTGAACTATGAACATTTTGTTTTATAAAATTATAGTTTAAAATTTTACGATGAATATAAAAGAAAGAAGTTCGAATAGTTTTAAAAACATTTTTGGGAAGATTAATTTTTTCTAATCACTATTATGAATATTAGAAAATAACGTAAATTAGTAATTTTTGTATTTTAGTAAAATATTTTCATGCGCATGCGCATGATAATAAGGAACTTAAACTAACAATAAGACACATGTAACATATACTTTATTTATCTTACCGATTATTTTTAATCTAAATTTTCAGCACATAGTTTCCTGTTTGAAGGATTATTTAATTGAGATTTGTTATTTGAAATGAGTTCACCGTCAGTTTCTCGTTATCTCGAGACATTACCGTGTCTTCAGTCTATACTTTATCTACTGATAAAAAAATGTTATAATTATCAGGTTGCTTATGCATTAAGTACAACAAAATATTATTGAGAGAGAGAGCTTAATTACATGTTGTAAGGTACTTCCGTGTTTTATTTTCAGTTATGATACATATTATAATACATATATTTACATTCTTATAAATATGTAAATTTATATCTGACTTATAAATTCGCTATTTTGCACCGCCACACCTAAAAGGCACAAAAATTAACTTCCGATATTAAAAATTGATTATGAAAACGATCATCGTTTAAAATCGAAGTTTATTAAATGACAATATAATCATTGACGATCGATTAACAACATTATCTGATCATTATCGATACTGAGTATTCATCGTTTTTAACACTAAGTTTTTTAATATTTCATATTTTCTCTTTGACGTCACTGCAGTTGTAATTGTAACTTTAATTTGATCTGCTTGAAATCAATATCGATTTTCCAACTTAGATATCTGAGCCAAACAAGATGCACACCTAATTTATTTTATTTATAAAAATTCTATTTATGAGGATATTGAAATGAACCAAGTGAGAATCATATTTTTACTTTTTTTATTCACAAAAATATATTGCTTATATAGAATATTTATATATAAATGAAAAAAAATTTTTTTAACTCTGATATTGAACATATAATTACATGTATATGAATATAACATATAGGGCTCAAATAAAAAATAAATTTAAAATAACAAAGAACAAAATGTCTATACCCAATAACGCCCAAGTTGTGTCCAATTTTCTATGATGCTTTAGTAATGTCCATTAATGCTATAGTAATGCTCTACAATACTCTAATGCATAACATCATATCGTTTATTATAATACACAGTTCTCTTAAGTTATGCCTTAATTCTGCAATGCCTTTAACAGTTTACCTCTTGAGAAAAACTAATCGCCGCCACATGGATAATTGGTACTCACGGTATATTATATGATACTTAACATACGTCTTAATTATGTATTTACGTATGTAACGTATAATATTAATTTTATAATCATAAAATATTTCTTTTTTATAACCATCTTTCAACCTAAATATAAAGTTCAGCGTGAGTTGATCTCATCGAGAACTCAAGCTGTAGGGAACATGTTAAACTACAAGCTTAATAGTTAAGATAGAAAAGACAAAAGAAGAAAATAGAAAATATAAGAAAAAACACATCTCAGAATTTGAGTCACGCGGCTTCGCCAATGAACGTGAAACTATAATGTAAGAATATAAAATGTTTTTTTTTTTTAAATATTACACGTAATAAAATACGGTCAAATATTATTTTGGAACAAATTTTTTATTAATGGTGAATTTTAATAGCGGTATTTATTGGTTTATAACACATTGGACTAATTTTCTGATTGGTTATCGCATTAGGATTTATTTGCAAGGGAACAAAGTCATTTTAATGCGCATTGAGCATCGATAAATGCAATAACACAGCATTGCACGCACGTACGTATATATGCGACCTAATTCGTGACCTGATGATAATTAAACAATGTTACTCGTGTTATCCACTATGAATAATGAATAATAGCGATATTTTTCAATCGAATGATTCCTGATACATCGAACCGAGCATTGAACCTTCCGCAATATTCAAGACGAAAATCGATTTGATATAGTATCTCTCCGCCCATCCGAGCTTTCTAACGAAATTCTGCATAAATAATATAAATACTAAATAGATAAACAAAAAATAATGATATAAAACATGATTGCACTATTTTCTTGTTGTAGATGTATAGTGCACATTATATACTTATATCTTTTTATGTCATGTTACTTTTTGTGTTCAATTTATATATTCTTATCTTAATTTATATATTTCTATTAATTTAAAAAAAATTTTTTATATTATTATATATTGACCGATATTCTAATTTTTAATTGTGTCTAAAGCGGCTAAGTATTTTATTGTATTCTTTTTCTTTAAAAATTCATATTATAATTTTTATGTTATAATCGCTTTTTTGTTTATTTACGAATTGACTCTCATTGTCCTTCACCTTGTTTTAATTATTATTTTCATATAAAGAGTCCTTCAACTTTAATTTTATTTGTTTTTTACTAAATTAATAAGAAAATAACATCTTTTCTCAATTTTATATAGGTACGATGATCCCCAAATCCGGCGGCGATTATGCATATATTAGCGATGCCTTCGGACCTCTGCCAGCATTCCTCTACCTTTGGGTTGCCTTATTCATCTTGGTACCAACAGGAAACGCAATCACGGCCCTTACGTTTGCACAATACATACTGCAACCTGTATGGCCTGGATGCGAGCCGCCGTATGCAGCGATTCGACTACTCGCTGCTGTAATCACATGTAAAATGAATAAATATTTTTTATTTTATTTTAATAATTTATAGAAAAAATACATAGTATGACCTGATTAAATACAAGAAGTGTTCTCTATGTTCTTTTTATTTTTTATATAATTATTAAATTATAATTTATAAATTTGAACACTCCCTATGGAAATAATTTTTAAAACCTTTCAGTTAATTGTAGATCTTTTAATATAATTGATTCCTTCTATTTATTATTACCTGTTCGTTATCCTTTTCAGGAATTGTAGACATTTGCATCAATTATTATAAATGTTGCATTATATATGTGTAATATATATATATATATATGTGTGTGAGTGTCAAACTGACCAAAAATATCTTGACGTGCATGAGTTGTAATATGAGACATAATTCGATATAACCCAAAAAAGCATTATTTATACTCTCGTCAGATTATTTATCATCCGCGACATGCGTACGACGAGCGCAACAACAACATATGGCAATTTTTCTATTTTATTTGTAGGTCTGTTAACCGTCATTAACTGCTATAATGTTAAATGGGCAACTAGAGTGCAGGACATCTTTACTGGCACCAAAATCTTCGCTCTAATAATCATTATGGTAGCCGGTGTCTGGTGGCTCTGCATGGGCCACACGGAAAACTTCCAATATCCGATGTCTGGCACTAATACTCAACCAGGTTATATCGCTTTGGCAGTTTATTCCGGATTATTCTCCTATTCAGGCTGGAATTATCTCAACTTCGTGACGGAGGAGCTAAAAGATCCCTATAAGTAATTGTCATAAATACAATTGGAAATTAAACTCTCCATAACTTTTTTGTATCCTTATTGCAATTCTTTTAATTTATAATAAAAAAAACGGAGTAATACACCAAGAAAAAAGATTCTAAATTTTAATAAATATTTGTTTAAATAATGTTAACTAAATATTTATCTACAGTAAATAAATATTTACTTGATAAAAAAATGATAGTAAAATCACAAATTAATTTATGATTCTTGTACTAAATAAATATCTTTGTATTTAGAAAATATTTAGTTGACATTATTTCAAACAAAATGTTTTATTAAAATTTATTCTATTTTTTTCAGTGTACAAGTCAAATCATGTTATTTACTTATTTTTGATAAAAAGTAATACGTTGCGCTATTAGTTTTTATAAAATTAATATTTGATTATTTATTCTTAAAATATTGTCTTATATTTTATTAGAAATTGATACGGAAAAAATGTTTGCATTGTTATATTATCGAAGCGCGTTTATATTTACGAAAACAATAACGTACGTAAAATTTTAATACAGACTTACAGAAACTTTTATGATAATTGTTGTTTTTTTTTATTTTCACAGGAATCTTCCGAAAGCGATCTGTATATCACTACCATTGGTGACAGTGATTTATGTTTTCGCGAACATCGCCTATTTCGTTGTACTCACACAGGATGAAATACTCGCATCGAATGCTGTAGCTGTTGTAAGTACACTTTTACACGTTAATAACGTTATTAATTTGATTGCGGAATATTAATCCATGATTGATTAGTTGTCAAATAATTGCACTCCCATGAATATTTTATCACCAAGAAACCAATTATTTGATTCTTTAATGTATAAAAATAATATAAATTTTGAAGAATAAATTTTAGGAAAAAAAAAATTTAACGGCGAACTTTAGTATTCACACAACTTGTATGCATTAAATTGCTTATAGCAATATTATATATTGAGCTGTAAATAAAGATGAATGTGTTGTACACATAAAAAGAATGATTTTGCTGAAACGCAAAAAGTTACAAAAGTTAGTTTGCAAAAGTTTACAATTTTGTTGAATAAGAGATCTGAAAAATAAATTAAACCATTAAAACAATTTTATTAAAAATTTTAATTGATTTTATTGAAATATCAAATTTTTTTGCAGCATTGCTTATTATTTTTTAGTTTCCAACAAATTATTTTGATGTGATCCAATAAAATTATTTTTAGATATTCAACAAAATTTTAAACTTTTCATCGAAATCCCTCTTTCTGTGTATGATTTCTTGCACGTGCGTTGCTGCTCTTCATCGAAGCAAGATACTCGATAAAAAGTCAAGAGCTTGTACAGTATTGCGAGAAGTGAAACACCAATTTAATTCAATCCATTTCATACAGAAGAAATTATGCAATCCTGCAATTACTTTATGCTGTGATCAAGATTTGTTCCACTTTTACCAGCATTAAAACAGAATTTCCTTTCTAGACCTTTGGCGATAAACTACTGGGCGTTATGTCATGGATCATGCCGTTCTTTGTGGCATGCTCGACTTTTGGAGCACTGAATGGCGCGATCTTCGCGTCGTCCAGGTTATTCTTTGTCGGTGCCCGAAACGGACACCTCCCCACTGCCATTGCTTTCATTAATGTTCGCAATTTAACACCGATGCCATCCCTCATCTTCCTCGTAAGTATCACACCCTTATGAAACGTGAAGAGAAAATAATGATTAAAAAGAATTTATTATATAGAATTAATTACGATCTAATTAATTTGGTTGGATAAATTAATTAATTTGATTATATAAAATTACGAAAATAAAAAAAAAGTATAAATAATTAATTTTATATAATAGAATTAATTTAATATTCTTTATTATATATAGCAAAATTTATTTGTATTCGTCAATATTCAGGATTTGTAATGAAAATATTTAAAAATCCAGACATTTGAAAATAATGCTCTTTTTTATACATTTCACATAACATCGATCTTTTGATCTATTTATATTTTAATTCTTAAGAATAGAACCTGAATAAAATAAATAAATATCACGAATTCAATTTTATGATAATTAAGTGCTATAGTCGCTTATTTTAAAAAATGATATCTTGATAGTGAATATATGTATATATTTATTTCTAGTATTATTTTAATCATTAATGATAACTGAATAATTTTTAAAAAATTATTTTATTAGTAAAAGAGAGTTTCATCAATATACGTTATCATCATAATTATAGAACGGTGTGTATGTTTGCACAGTGGCATTTGTTCGGTGATAACGGGATGTGACAATGATTTATATAGCTGTAACGATCATGAACACTTCAATAATTGACATATCGGAATTAATCTACAAAGATATTGAATTTATCATGAAATTTGTTTGTTCGAATTCCAATAATACCACATTTGTTCATTTATACGATATAATACTATACCCAAATATTTTGACTGTAGAAAAATTGTTCTATATAATTGTTAACTACTTTATAGAAACTTTTAGCTGCAGTATATGTGTTTCGGAATATTTTACTTTAGAGAAAATATCACATCTTTAACGAAAGATAAGCTTTATTATACTTAACGTTGAAGTAATCTGCACTTTGTGTGTGATAATTCGGCCCGTCCAATTGTCGGGAATAGAATTAATTGACGTGTATAAATCGGATCCCGCGAAATTACATTAAAGCCGGCGTCTTAATGAAATAAACGAAGCCAGCCGGATCAGAGCAGGCCGGCAGACACACAGCGGCATGCTATTATGCAGCTCGACATTTTGATTTGCGGTTCGTTAATTGAGAGCGGTAAATTGATCCTTTCACGTCGCTCCCTGGCCCCGTATCTCTTTGACGATTAATAGCGGAAGTTTGCTCGCGATGTCTATTCCTTTCTATGAACGAATTAAAAGGATCGATTACGTCTTTAACCACGCTTAAATGTCACGCTATCACAATAATGCAAACATACTAACTATAAAATATAGATATAATTAATTGTACGATGTTTAATACAGATGTAATTTGTTCTGAGATATTAATTATCTTTTTAATATTTCAACGATAACTTTTGAAATACAAGAAATTCAGATAATCTAGATATCCGTAAATTCCACGTGTTAAAAATCTATCTTAGTTAATTTAAAAAATTAATTTTTTTTAAATAAAATGTCAATTTTAGATTTTGATATAAAATTATCTGGAATCAAGTGTTTTAATTATCGCGATTTGCAATCAGTTCTAAAAGCGCTGATACGCACGCGGAGCAATTTTTCTATTCTTGTAGTCGGACTCCAATTCCGAGCGTTAAACTATAATTTCCGTTTCTAGTGCATTATCACCCTGATACTCCTCATCATAGAGGATGTCTACGTACTAATAAATTATGTCAGCTTCGTTGAGGCTCTATTTACCACACTGTCCGTGTCTGGTCTATTGTGGTTACGTTACAAAAAGCCCGAACTCCATCGTCCGATAAAGGTACGCGCAATTTTGTTATATTTAATTTGTATAAAATATTATATCTATGCATCTTCCATTTTTCTATTCAATCGCAAATCTCATTTCGCATATTTTATCCTTTAGGTTTCTATCATTTTGCCAATCATTTTCTTCATAATCTGCGCATTCTTGGTCACCTTACCATGCTACGTCTCGCCATGGGAAGTAGGCGTGGGTATAATCATAATCCTTTCTGGCATTCCTGTGTACTGTATATTCATCGATTGGAAAACTAAGCCCGCCTGGCTCATCAATGCATCCCGTAAGTATAGATGAGCTTTAGAACTGTGTTTAGAACAAGCTGCTCAAATTTATGCAAATATATATAATATTATATATATTACATATATTATTTATATATGCTGTATACTATATGTTTATATGTCATTATTACATTTTGCAGATAAATTCAATATAGCATGCGCAAAACTATTCATGTGCGTACAAGAAGATAAGACGGAGTGAATGCTCAAAACTCGCGCGCGCACGCGCGCGTACACACACACACATAATCTTTACGACAAACTCCGAACTGAGACATTCGAATTTAAGAGTGCATTCCGCACGTGCCGTACTTTTTCTTAGATAGATAGAATATATGTATAGTTCTGAATAGATACAATGTGTTGATCATTGTTGTCTATCATCAAACTATTGCATGATTGCATAAGTATTAACGATAATGCGCGAGCGACCGACACAGCACGGCCGTCATCGATAGATTCATTTTACTTTTTATATTATATAATATATATGTATATACATACAGATACATTTGCGGAAGTAATTTTTATACATATACATATATTCCTAATTATTTATTGTTTAATAAGTGCCTGTACGCGCCATTTCTACAGTCTAGCATGTAAATTGTATTCGAGTGCCAATTCTTGATACTGCCTGGCGTATTCGAAATGTAGGTTTTAATATATATATATATTTAGGATAAATATTTTTTTATTACATAATATGTACATGTATATGTGCCACATTTTTATTGGACTTTACAAGCTCATAAATATAAAATAATAGAGTTGTATTTATGAAGGCACAATATAAATAGAATTTAGCAAAATTATTAAACATCAATAGAATTCATACAATTTCGATAAATCCAAATTTTTAAGGACTTTACATCAATTATAGCATTTTATTTATTCGCTTTTATGAGAACTATCATCACGTATCTAATCATTTAAATCTAAATTAATCTGAATTTAGTGAAATATACTGAAGTATACTGATTTCAATTCCTAATTGTATATAAAAAAGAGTAATGTAAAGTTTGTATACGTCATACGTAAATATAGTCCCGATTGAAAGTTTATGAGAAATGTATAAAGGATTCTGTTTCGATTAACTGTAGGTAAATACGTACATGCAACGTTACATTATGTAATTAGTTAGTGCATATTTCTTTTCCCAATGGAAAAAATGACCTGAGAAAGTAAATCCTTTTTTACTTTCAATTATCTAAAGAATATATATATATTTTCTGTTTTAAATGAATTAACTATCTGTACGATATTGATTAAGCACACATTAACACAACATATATGTATATTAAAAATTAAATATCATAAATGAAGAAGTTTAAACAAAGTCATGAATTAACGAAAGTGATTTTAAAAAATTAAATATCCATCTAAAGAATCTTATAATCTCTCGAATGACATTCATGTTTTCAATTATTGTCTAAATAATATTTGTACTCTAATCAGATAACTGTTCAAATATTGATAAGAAATTATTTTGTAAGACAAATTACATTCAAGAATGACTAAATATGTGTCTTATATATATGTGAGCAAACAGATTACATATTTTTTAAAACAGAATAATAGGCTATTTATATAAAATGGCATAATCATAAGTAACATATTAATGACAAATTATGTGTGAATAAGAATAGATATGTATGTATACTTTAATACTAGAAGGACTGGATTTGACTATCCCCCTAGAAAGACCCAGTAAAATTCCTCCTAATAGAAGCCAATTTGACTCCAAATTTTTCGTAAACAAATAAAAAAAAATGAAATGTATAGATAATTATTTTAAATCTTCTAACTTGATCAAATACTTCGCTCGCAATTCCTTCACCATTCATCCTCACGTGATAGTAAAAGTTTTTGTTATGACTCCGTTTCGACAAATGTTTTACTTTGCAATTTTAATTTGGTGGCCAGTAACAGAATCTTATCATTGTCATTAGTAAAATATTTAATTTGTCAACTTTTAAATAAATTTAAAAAAATTGTAAAGGTCTACTTATCGTCAAAACTGTATAATTTGTAACAACATTGTTTCTCTCAACAGTCATAAAATAAAATTTAACTGTTCGAAGGTGAAGCGAAACAAATAAATTCATTTTTTTATATTAATATATACGTTGTAAGATTTTATAATTGCGTTTGTTAATTGCGCCGCTATGCTTTCATTAGCTTTTTTATATATTCAAAAGTTATATAGCAGTTTGAATTTCGCAAGGAGCCAAATTAGCTGCCTCGGTCTTTCTAGTGTTAAAGGAATTTATAGAGAAAAAAAACAAATCTTTGAATAGCAATTTTATTCCAACAGATTTGATAAAATGATGTTGTAAATTACTTTTAAGTATACCTTGCAATTAGCTTGTAAACTGTTAGCGGAGATAGGAAAGATTAGCACTCTCTTATACTATACATTTTATTCGTCATTTCTAACGAACCCTGCACTAATTATTGAAAAATTAGGTCCTGATGAGTTAATTTTTACATTGTTGTAACTTATAATGATGAATAAGAAATGTCATGTACACATATAACACGTATAATGAATAATTCTTGAGCGATAGAGTACGGACCAAAGGTGTTCTGTGAATTTCCAGATAGCGTGTTTTATTTGTTACTGACATGTTAATCGCATATAAGTATGTGTTGATTCTAAATTGCATCAATTGAGTTATCGCATTTGTTAGCAAATTGTTGTCTTCGTGATATGACAACTTTAGGTATTAATTTGTCAACAAGTTGTCGACAACTTTAATCGTTATCACAAAAATTCGTATTATTGCCGTCATGTTTTCCATAATAATCTATAGGACCGTAAGATGTATTACTGATAACTTAATTGAATACTACTATCTTGCTGTAAAACTGCGCTGGTAATGTTTTCTAAAATTTTGAGAGTAAATCTCATTTTGAAAAGTGAAATCTACTCATCCTTAAAAATTGAAAATTGAACCATTCTTTCTCAATATTGGCACAATTTTTAATCTTAAGAATAAAGTTTCACTCCAAATAATTTAGATAGATGGTTATCTACGTATCCACAAAATAGTTACCAGTAACATATAATTACAAGATTTATAGATTTACAATTTTGCTAAGACACTTGGTTATCTGGACACTATAGTTTTATACTTTTGATATACTGCAACTCAAGAGCTATCCATTATTTGAGTAATGTGTATGTAATATTTTTTGTTCATCATATTACAAGCTACAACATATATAAAAATTAACTCATTTCACCGGGACCTAATGTTTCATATAACTAGTATGAAGTCCTTCTATAATGTGTTGTATACTTGTATGGTGAAAAAAGTATACGTATGCCTGTCGTCAAACTATTGTTACTACGGCAAATAGGCCAAAAGTATTATTAATACTTGTCAAATTACAACAGTTTCTCATGTATTTGTAAATATTTTATTTATATTTAATTTTTATCTCACACACTTTATTTTTTAAAAGACTTACTTTTGAAAAATCTTGTACAGATATTACTTCTCGACGCCATATTAAAATCAATCAATTGAATAATTAATTAGGTCTCTTCTTAATATAAATACACTTTATGATATACGTTCATTCACAATGAGTGTTTACAGTCGCGCGAATCTTTACGATCAAATATTAATTTGAAATTTTGCGAAGAGATATATATTTCGAATTTGTTATTATATTTGTTGTTATATATTTATTTGGCACGTACAATATATGTCCAACATAATGACTGTATATACAAAAACATTTCTGCAAATAGTCGATTAAAAAATGCATAGAAAACCGTTTATACATAATAGATAGTATATTGTTGAGTCTTAAAAAAAGAAACTATTGAAGAAGCTCATAATCAAGACTTTTGTTTCTGCGGAAATATTTGAACACATATATGTTTTCCCTTCAAAAATATTGACATAAACTAAAAGTGAATAAACAGTCATACTATTTAGTATTATTTTCGTTGTTCGTATGTACATGTTCCATCAATTCTTCAATTATTTAACAATAACAACAACAAATACACATTATTGAGCAATTCCTTTTTTTCATTTCTTTATCGAAACGAAAGTTAATGAAACAGAATATTCCGTTATGAGCTTCCATGTTCAATGGGTAAACCTTATTTATGTGGTTACATTTTATCGATTCAAAAAATGTAAATAAGAATAACATTGTAATCTTAATAATTTCAATTTGGCATAATGATATAAATATAAATATTTGTAAAAAAATTTCAAGATCTTTAAAAAATATCTCTTTAATAAAGTGTTTTCGTATCTTTTTTTATATAAATATCAAAGTAATACTTTGGTATTCGAGATATACTTTTGTATATATTTATTTCTTCATTACTGAAAAAGGAACAAGTAATTAAATTAAAAAATAGGAAATTTGTTTAAAGATCTTGAAATTCTTTCTCTTTAGGTTCTTACGTATTTTTATTACAAAAATTGAAAAATGACTAAAAAAAACTTCCACGCGTGCTGTGTTCAAACTCTGTACTCTTTCTGGTTATATCTACTTGTGCATTCTTCTTGCTGCAATTAAGCAACAAAATTACACTTTGACTTTCCTAATGCAACAAAAAAATTATTGCCGGCGTCTCCAGAAAATTAGGAAAAAAATCATATCGATTTGTGCGCCTCTTCTCAAGCAAAAAACACAGAACTCTTTCAATTTTCTACGATGAAATATTCTGCAATCAACCTTCAGCGAGCGGTGGCGTCACCCAGCCATACTTCTCGTGTGTTCTCACCAGATTCTTAAATGTCTCCTCGGCCAATTGTCGATTGTACTCCTTATTCGGTTTTGATACTCTTGCCACTTGTGCCTGTCGAGATAAAAGCTTCACATAAATCTAGGAAATCAATATGAACACAGTGACCAATATTTTTTTTAAATTCAGCCTTTGTTTTATTTATAAACGATAAGATAAAATTAATTTTTTTAAAAATTGATTGAAAAAGGACTATACATAACATTTTCCATGTTTGTATATAATATACTCGCCGACTCGCGTAAAGGAGGCACGGCAGTGTCGCTGCGCCTGGCTTAGCGCCGAGACACTACCGTGATATTCTAGATGATTACGATAATGTGATACATAATACTATTACATATATCATTATATTATCGTTATAATATATTTTCATGAGACAGTGTATCTGGAATTATTAATTATTTAGTACAGATCCAAAATAGTGCTTACCTGCCCCTTCACAACACTGGCTGCAAATTGCATGATCATCGACTCAACGCTATACGCGCAGCACCATCCTCTCGGTGTAAGGAGTTCCATGCAGATAGCACCGCCGTGCATCACAAAGCCCTGATCGATTCTCGGTGAAATTACCCTCATAAAAGGTGGCGCAAATGGAAACTCCTTTGGAAAAATTACATGCAGCAATATGTGAGGTATCTTTAATTCACGCATATCGGCTGCTAGCTTGCTGTCTGGATCAATTTTATGCAGTCGAACAAACCACTCAAAGACGTTATCATTGACAAGCTCCACGGTGAAAGTAGAATCGCCGCATTGTGTTCTTTGGATCCTGTTAAACTCTTTCATTAGTCGACGCAAACCGATGTCCTTGTCATAGACAGCTTTGCAATCGTTGTTGTCCTGTATGAGTAAAGCCTGGTTTGAAATTCTCAGGCTATCTCAGGATATCCAAAATCTGATTACAGAATTATGGATACAGAAGCTATTCTATTATGCTTATTTATCGAAAAACAATGATTAGATCCTTTTTGTGATCTGTTACTAATTAATCAATCGAGAATTCCACACACCTTTGCGGACTTCTTTGCCTTGAAGAAACAACTACGATTAGTGTGAGTGGAATCTGGATTCTCCAGTATCGGTCCATCCATTGGAGTAACGGCATCTGGACGGTGGTGACGATTTAGGAGTCTCCTCGACGGCGAATTGGTTGAGCTACTGGCTCCCTCCGGCTGAGCTATCTTATCAGAAGACCGAAAGAGCTTCCGGATGGCAGCTACCACTTTTTCCTTGGATTTCGTAGACATGGTGAAAGTATCGTGTCGTTTTTTTACAAGGTCTCGCTACGCTCTATGTTTAAAAAATTTTTATTCGTAAGAAATTTTCAAGACCAGCTGTCTTATGCATAAAAATGATGTCTAATTTTTTATATTTTTAGACTAGATACTTCAAAGAAGAAAAATTAAACAAATTTGTACACAAAAAAGAAATTAAAGGTATTGTAAGAAAAATTATATCAATAAAGTATAAATTGTTTGAGTTTCAATCAACACAAAACAATATGATTTAGGTTTTTAAAAAGTTTTCCTATAGTATGATATATACAAATTCATATTATAAAGAATGATTCCCGAAATTCGATTAATTATACTATAATATAACTCTAAAATTCATTTATTAATTTCTCTAAACAGATTAAATATATTGTCATTTAAATTATATATATAATAATATATTTTCAGAAAATGTGGATACTTTGCTTGAAGATAACATATTTTAAAAATACTTTACGAATGTCGATGAGCTCCTATTTGAGTTTTTAATTTTTCGAAGTAGAAAACTTTTATAAATGCTTATAAAATAATTTTTCAAATATTTAAAAGTTTACATTTTCTGATTTTTCAACAATTCATCGAGAAATTCACTGTGCCAAAATCCATTATGCCAATTCCTATTAATCAATCTTGTTTAAGTTATAAAATTATTTATTTTCATTAGAAAATTTGTCGACAATGTTAGCATTTGTTTTAAAGTTGTACAAGGGTGTGGAGCAGAGATCTTTCTACGGAATTTTGGCTATGCAGAACGAATCGAATATTACCGAGATTTATTAACTATAATCTAATATCGAGCTTACCCATTCTCATTATCGGTCTTACATCGCTTACAGTTGACAGATTGTCAACATAAGACTATTGTATACCACATGGAATATGCAAGAACGGTGAAGATGCAACCACTGAACAAGAACAGTCTCCACCCTCGTTAAACCACCAATCGACGTCAGCCACGAAAACGACTGAAGGGATAGACGCCGACGCCGACGTCAACGACGATACCGGCGCTACCGTCGTGAATGGCATAGTTGGCTCCCTTATCGATCCAATTTGCATGACCGATAAGAGGATAGCGCGACTGATAGCGCAAGCTGCGCACAAACATATAGCCGTTTTTTTTCCATCGATAAATCGGTTGAGTCAACTATGTAACTTTTTCTTAGAACGGAAATATACAAAGTGAAACAATTTTTAGTACAACGTGTATATATATATATATATATATATATAACACGTACATAAATACATAAAAATTTTCACGTTTCCACTCTAGAAAAAAAATTACATAATCAATGTAAATAAATTTTATATCAAAGGGTTTAAGGACAGGAATATTTTCTAACATTATTTGCATTAAAATTTCAAAATTTAATTGTTTTCAACAAATGGTGACTGCATACTTCAAATGTTTACTGAAATACCAGCAAATTTCGTCGAAAAATATAATATAGATATTATTAAAATTAAAGGCAATGGAAATGAAACATTCTAGAGCGAGAAATAAAAGAAAAATTTAGAGATATATGTTTCTCTGATGAAAACATTTTGTTGAAATTACTTCATATTTTGGAACATTTTAACGAAATTGCTATAAAAATTTACTGAAATTAAACTGAAATTTTTCTAAAATGTTGAAATTTTATTGAAGAGTTCCAAAACGTAGATTAATTTCATCGAAATTTTTCCACCAGAGCAATTGTATACACAAAAAATATAGGTTTATTTTTTTATGTATTTATCCATGGTCTTACAATATATGTGTTCAGGTATCTATTGGTGAATAGAAATACCAGGATATGTTTAGCCACATATGCGAACACAAGTAGGCACGATAGATATTGGATCCACACCCATTTCAATTCTTCCCACACGCTCGGCTGATAGTAAATAAAATTCTCCACGTAAAACAATTCGCCAAAGACGACTACAGGTTCGTCATTAGAGAAGCCTGTTCTCCACGTTACCCGCTCGTTCGTGATTCTGGCAGAGACTATAAGATAAATATACTTTTAATAATTCCACGTGTTTATGCTAATTGACAAAATTTTTTTCGAAAAATATGAACGTACGTACACTTTCGGTTAAAACTATACAATAGCAATTCGGGTAGAGAATAATCGGATAATTCTATGCTGTGGTTGTATGTTTCGTAGAGGCCCTCACTACGCAAAAGTCCTTTTTGCCGTAGCTCCAGATCGCCGAAAAATCTTATCTCCTGAACCTCATGGTTTAATATTTGATTAAACACGCCTATAGATTCTATCGTCGCTTGGATAAGATGCTATAAAATAAAGAAAATTCGTTAAAGCTGTGTAATCAGCAAATTTACAATCAACAGCACAAATCAACCTTTAATTGAAAATTGAAGAACAGCAAAAGTCGTAGAGATTTCACTGGCTTGTCCGTGTAAAACTGAGCTTCAAATCTTAATGAATCTTTCTGTCCATCATTGTTTAGATCGTTCTCTCGTACCTGAATAAAAAAAATTGAAATATAAAAATAACACTTAAATAATAAATATAAATAACTGACGCCAATAATAAATAAGAATTATATTAATTTTGCATACACGATCTTTAAATTAGAAACGGAAGGAAAATTGGAAAAAAATGGAATAAAAAATTTGTATTTAAATATAAAACGTGTTTACAAACAAATTTTGTATTTTTTAACATATTAAAATAATGAAGAAGCAACCTTGATTATTGTACAATGATCTTTAATATCATTCTCCTTGTATGTCGTAAAAGTGGAACACACGATAGGCTCTTCAAGAGAATCTACCTCCGCAAGTAATAGGTATTTATATATGAAGTGTACATCAGGCATTTCTGCATGCATCCGATTTTTCATCCAGATACCTGAAATTTAAAAAAATTAATTATTATAAGGTAAGTTTTTAAATTCATCGATTGATCAATCGCATTGTGCGCAGATGTAATTTTGTTCTGTAAAAGCTACATTTTTCGCCCATACTATCGTAAATCACCGCATATACCTATGTCTAAAATCGATGATACAAAAGTCAGATTGATTTTTACCTCCTGTATTGTAGATTATAAAAAGTGGCGTAATCAAAGATAAAACAATGAATAAGAAGACAATAATCGAGGCAAAAGAATATATCCTACTCTTATACTTGTAAGTGACAGAACTTGAAAATATTTCGATCGCTGCCATTGTGATGCTATATTCGTTGCCGCGGCAACGTCCACATCGAACAAGAAAGTATGTAGAATGTATATAGATATGGACATTATAAACTAGAAAATTAAGGCTATGAAAAGTATATTATATAATATATATTAGGATACGATCAATATAATGCTATTCTAAATGTTTTGAAGCAATCTTTAATTGATAAATTAGTAAATTTTTTTCTTTCTTCTGATTGTTCAATAAGATACCTCAAAGCATTGTAATGAGACTTTGACCATAGTCAAATTTTACCGATCTTTAAAATATTATATCTCCGCTTCCAAAGAGATGATTTTTCTGGATGTTTTAAAAGATAAAATCTCAACTTTAATTAATAGCCTCAATCGTACCAATGTTATATAATACTTTAATTTTAAGCAAAGCTTAAAAATCTTTCTTTTTTTAAAGCCTATAGAATATATTAGAAGGATCCAAAAAGAGACATTTTTCGCTTTAAGTTTTAAGTCTCGCTTAAAATCAAAATAATAGCATTGGTATATTTTTCGCTCCATTAAAAGATTTTTTTTCACAAAAACCAGAAATAGATTGTATTAAAATTCTGAAATTTCTATGACTTTTTACAGCTATTCACAGGCAAAACAAGAATGAAGAAAAATGTCATCGTATAGATTTTAAAGTCAACTTTTTTCTTTAAAGTAATATCCCGAACATATTACACATTGCATCCACATTCTAAAAAATTAAAATTTTGACTTTTACAATAGAAATGATCCTATTTTGCTACTATTTTAGATAAATAACTTTTAACAAGTTAATGAATCTAAATAAACTTTTACATTATTAATTTGAATTTTATTATTATTATTCAATATTCGTGCGCGCGCGTTTCTGCACACTAGATACGAAACACTTGCCGCGCAATAAAATGTGATGTGATGCAAAGCAACGGTACGCTTGCTGAGTGATTGAATATGATTGGTTAGATCTGTAAATAACAACCAATTATGTTCACTTCCATTGGCTACCGGGAGTGCGGTCAAACTACAAATGCTTTAAAGCGTTAGATTGACCAATCAAAAGAAAGAATTGGTATATATTTCAAGAATGATTGGTCAATTTGTAAAATTTTACAAATTGACCAATCAAGATTCAAAGCATTTGTAGCATCGCGTTGGCCGTACCCACGTCACACATTGCTGCGTAAAAATAAAAATTGTAATTGATTCTACTTTAATTTTTACGAATTTATTAATTTTTACAATTTATAAATTTAAAGAAATTTGCGGGAATGGATGATAAATGTCGGACCAATCACAAACCGGGGAGAAGGTGGCCAGACTCTTATTAGAGGGTCACTAATGCATAAGGAAATGGGCAAATGAAATTTCTTATGCACATGCTTTATGCGTTATGTAAAAATGTGTGTTTCTCGCTTTTAAAAAGCGATAACTAGTAACGGTAATTTGTTAAGCCCATGGCACATAGAAAAACGTAAGGCCGTAAACGTAATCAGTAAGCGAATTGACCAATCACAGTTGAGAACGTAAGCAGCCGCCGCTTACGTTCTCAACTGTGATTGGTCAATTCGCTTACTGATTACGTTTACGGCCTTACGTTTTTCTATGTGCCATGGGCTTAACCATTTCCGCCTCTAGTGTGCAGGAGGAACCAACAAATAGGTCGGTATTTCAATATGCAAGTCATATGATCAAAATGAACCCTTGATAATGGCTGCGTTCAGCAGTGAAAAAAATTTGCACCTGTTGTAAAATCTTTAACATGATTGGTCTTGCTCTTAATTCCTTACTGGATCTGAATGTATGAATCAACCATGTTAAAGAATTTTACAACAGTTGCAAAGCTGCTTTCTCTGCAGCCATTCGTTAATTTTTATCACATGACCTGTTTTAACGCTAAAATTGTGCGTCGAGCACAGTCGTCGAGCATCAGCATGAAAAGACACCTTTATATTCTTATACGACGGATGCTCACATGTAAAAGTACCTTTAAATTCGTCTCGATCTTCGCAGGATTTTCACGATCTTGGGCCGCGAGGTTGCGGCATGTGGTGTGTTATCGGCGTCTTCAGTGATTGTTGACGTACACTCGTGGCATACATATCAATTTTAACTGATTGTTCCGCCCACACGATTCAACGAGTCAACAAGGGACCTTTTTGAGCTGAGGTGAGAGCCGCGTAGCCCTTTGCGTCTATAACTCGATGCAGACTCTTGTAGTCCCCATCTCAATGTGGAGATAGCAATGGCTGCAGTATGACGCTCCTAACTATCGCGTGTTTGATGTCTGTCGCGAATCGAAGTCTTATTGTCTAAACCGGTGGCGAAAAATAGGCTCGCGATTCATAAAATTCTCCTCAAGGTAACGTCACGTATGAAAGCATTTTTTATCATGGATTCCGCGACCCATCCCTTCCTATCGCGATAAGTAGTGGAGCAAAGAGATAATGCAAGAAAGACAAATAGAACTTATATTTTATCGTTTTTATATGGTTTCAAAGACGAACAATGACAAACATTCAAACACGTAAATTTTTAACTTGTTTTAGGCCCGGTTTTACAACTCACAGTTAACTCTTAACTGAGGTTTAACTTATTTTTTTATCTCTTTCCAATTTTAGAATTAGAAAAAATTAGTTGAACTTTGGTTAAGAGTTAATCATAAGTTGTGAAATTGAGTCCTAAATATGATGTTATATTGTAAAACTGATCTCACACAAAATGCTATCTTTGCACCAAACTGTTTAATTTTTGTTGACATGAATATAATGCATATATTTGTATTATATAGCAATGGAATCTGAATGTAAGCGTAAGGGCCCTAGAAGCCCCAGCGCTGATTCAGATGATTCCTCGCATGTCAGAAGAAGAAGAAAGTATGATCGATCGCCATCTCCCAGACGAAATCGATACCGCAGGTCTCGTTCCAGAGATAGAAGATCTCGTTCAAGTTCCAGAGACAGAAGACGAAAGGAATCTAGGACGCAAGATTGGAAGCAACAAGCTCCTCCATCCCAAACTCAAAATTCTGTACCCAATCCAAGCAATTCTGCAAGTTATGTTTCAGCGGTACATAATCAATACCAGGTAAACAGCTTTGTAAATTTGTCAAATATATAAATGATAGAAAATTGTCTTACTAATTATATCATTATATTTTATCATATATTTTGCAATATTGTTTTGTGCTTTGTCTGTTCAGGCTCCTCCACCAAACACGAGTCAGCCACCACCACCAATTTCTGCATACAACCAAGGTTATAATAATTATGGTTACAATTATGGTCCAGGTTATGACTATAGTTATCAACAACCTGCTGGTTATCGAAGTGTAAGTTATATTTAAAATAAAAAAGTTAATACACTCTTAGTTTTACTTAAAAAAAAGATTGATTCTGGTGTCGAAACTTGCGCGCTTTTGCAAAGTATTTTAGAAATAGTATCATTATGTTACCGATTATGATTTATATTCGGTAATGTATTTGTTTCTGCTCTCTTAGAGCATTATAATTATACTTATACTTCTCTATATCGCAATATTGTGAATCTCTCAGTAAGTATAATATCCGCGTTATGTATTTTACTGGCACCGATATTGGAAATCCATAATATTGACTACACCGTTACATCATCAAGACTTCCATGTATTAGGCAAACTCCTCATTTGAATATCATCCAATAAAGGTAAGGGTCAATAAAAATGCCATTGAATGACTAGAGATTGATTGGAATTATTAATTCTGTTAGGATTATCCACCACCCAATTGGCAAGGAAGTCAGGTGTCATATAACAACCAGGAAGCACCACCACCTCCTGCGATGACACCACAACAAGAATCGTCAAGGCCAATTGACAGCAGTTCTTCTGGCTTAGTGACATCTTTGACAAGGCCTGAGGATGTTAAAAAAGAAGGTATGATATTTTCTTTTTGTTCATAATACATCCAAATTGATGTTAATATTTATTTAACAATAGTTTCTGTATGTATATAATATAATTGTATTTAATAATTAATATGATAATTATTATGATAATTAGTACTTTTTTAACATAATTTTTAATCTCTTCAAATTAAACACCTAACAGCAATCGCAGCTGAAGTAAAACAGCAGAAAGCGACATTGGCCAAACAACGAGAGGAATATGTTAAGAAATCTGCTACATTACAACGTGAATTGGAAATTTTACGTCAACAATGTGACGAGATAGGCAAGGACGGTGGTCGTGAAAATAATCGAATTTTAAAGGAAAATCAGAAATTGCAGGTAATTAACATATGTGATTTTGTCAATATATTTCTTTATGATTAACATTTATTTGAATTTAATTCGTTTACAGATTGAAATACAAAATAAAATGAAGACTATTCATAGCGTCATCGATATGCTTACTAGTATTATTGGTGACAAAGTTACTGTGGATGATTTGAAGAGCAAGTTTAAGCTAGAACTGAGTAAGCGTTCGAGAAGTCCAAAAGAAGACTTTCCGAAAGGGAAGTCCCCTTCGCCCAACAGATCGTCACCTTCTGATTCAGATAAAGAATCCAAAGCGGAAAAAGATATTAGGGAGAGAAGATCATCGGAGGATAAGCCAATGTACAATTTCGTTCACTATGACCCTGAAATGCATTGGTGTAGAGTCTGCGATATCTTTCCTAAAACTGCAAAGGAGTATTTAAATCATCTACATAGCAATGAACACAAAGAGGCTTGTTTAGTAAGTAATAATTTCGAGCAATAAACAATCGTCATAAGACACAGAAGGAGATGCTGAAAAGTAATTAAATATTAGAGAAAATAGATCTAGAAATTTTAGTACAAATTAATACAAATTGTTAGTTGCCATAGAGAACAGGTAGAAAAAATATATACATACATATTGCTTTCTATAATAAAAAAAAACAAATGGATTTATAATCAAGACTAAATATACATATTTGTGTAGTTCAAACTATATTTGTAAATGGATGATATATTACACAGTAATGATCACAACAAGCAGGT